TATATATATGATGCGAGACAAAAAATATGGAATACCTAAGAAACATTTATGGTTTCAAATTGGGGAAGAATACTGAACATAGCTTGGATTTCAGAAGAATAAATAAATCTTTCTTAGAGGAAGTGCAGCAGGAGGCTTATGAAAAGTGAGGCAAAGTTTTTTACCATGTACTTTGGACATGTTATCAGGAAAGACCAGTCCCTGGAGAGGGAAACCATGATTGGAGAGTAAAGGGTCAGTAATACAGAGAAAGATCCTTAACAAGATGTACTGATATGATGACGGAAACGGCACTCAAATGCAGGCAGGATTGTGAGCATGGTGCAGGGTTGACAATATTTCATTCTGTGGTACATATGAGTCAGGATTAACTTGAGGACACACACACATATATAACATATGCACACATATAATATACACTGAAATATATATAAATAATGTATTTTATTGTTATTCCCTTGCCTTTTATTCTATAGTTGTCTTTTATACTAAATATAAGTTATGAGTCATAGTAAGATTTGTACGCATTTAGCAAAAAATTGGAAAGCACTTTGTTTAACATTAAGGAAGGGTTAATTTGACATCAGGTCATGGTATAATGCTGATCTGAGTACAGAAATAAGAGGATAATGTGAGACTTCCCAGATATTGCTAAGTACGTATGTGCACACTATGCAAATTCAGGCTGGCCTGATTGAGAGTATTGTGGTACTGTGGTTACCTGAAAGGTCCCTGGTGGTACAGCAAGTCAAACAGGAGAGCTCGGCAGTTTGAACCATCCTGCCAGTTCTCAGGAGGATGAGACCATCTCTTTCCATAAAGATGTACAGTCTATGAAATAGTTCTACTCTGTCCTATAACATATGTGTGAGTCCCGGTCAAATTGACAGCAGTGTGTGGACAGTAATCTTGCTTCTCTTTTAGACTTTTGAGAAGTTAGTGTTAAAAACAGTATATGTTGGCAAACTCACAATGATTTGCCTCCATGATGCCTCTAGAGCAGTGGTTCTCAACCATCCTACTGCCATGAACCTTCTTATTCCTCATGTTGTGGTGACCCCAACATAAAATTATTTTTGTTGCTACTTCATAACTGCAATTTTGCTACTGTTAGGAAGCAGGTAACCTCTATGAAAGGGTTGTTCAACCCCCAAAGGGGTTGCCAATCACAGGTTGAGAACCGCCGCTCTCGAGTTCTGTCAATAGGCTATGAAAGAAGGGTATGTCTTCATTCCTCCATGAATACTTGCGTTCAATTGGGATTGCTGTATTAGTACAGGCTGTTGACATGGCTGAACCACCTGCAATTGACTGGAAAATACTCACTGACTAGCTCCTGGTTCTGTGAGATCCTTGATATCATATAGAAAATTCCTTAAGTCATTCCAACTGGGCCTTTTCCTCTTAATCTTCTCTGTAAGCATGTAAGTTTTGACGGCTGGCCGCCACAATCAGGTCTTGCTCTCTTTTTCATTAGCTAAAGACCAAAGCATGCAAGCCATCAACACTATATAAAACAATTACAAAATTCAAAATCAATATGTGCTATGTAGTGTCAATTTGATTTTTTTTTAACTGTAGAAACAATTTGCTTTTTTCTTAGTGAGGGATGAGGCTTGTTTGTGTGTGATAACTTGAGGGGTAAGCCTGCCTTAATGATATTTCGAGATTTATTCTCAAATTGTGTGATAGAACTAAAGAAAACAAGAACAATAATAACATTTAGAGGTATTATTAAATAACTGGAGGGCTTAGTTGCTATGGGATTCTTATCAGAACCAATTTTTAAAACACAGGCATTTTCTAATATTCTCATTATCAGAATTTCTTGTCTTTGCTTGAGCACAAAATTATTAACAATGTGAAATTATATGTTAAGTCACCCAAGAAACATATTACTATCCATGTAACCAGGTAACTCTTTAAAATAAGCTAAGTGAGAGATCCCACAGAAAATAAATAAGCTGAGATGGGATATTGAACTTCATCATTTCTAGCTTTTCAATCTCAGCATCACACATATCTTTTCAGACTCAAACCTTGTAATTTCTGTATTGAGGTGACTGTGTTAGATGTGCTGTAAGTTCATTACCTAGTTTAATTTTCTTTCTTTTTTGTTGTTGCAAATTTGCAGATCCATAAGCCAATTACAAATGTATAAAAGGGGGTTTATAAACTACATTTTAGTTGATATTACAATGATTTTCAAGTCAACTACTAGCCTTGTTTCCCTAAAAGCAATATCTAATAGGCAGATGCTCTCTTGAGTCAGAGAGGAGAGTTTTCTCTATTTCTTATTCATGTCTCCTTTTCATTTGTTGGCCACATGTTTTAAAATAGATATCAGAAGATTGAAATATGCCCTTGAAAAGTTACTAAAATAAGATGATGTGGAGAATAATTGGAAACTGGAGGCTTTTAGCCTGGAGAAAAGAAGTATTAATTGTAAATGATGTGAAATATGTGAGAAGTTGTCATGCGAATGGGGCATTAAACTTATTTCATGTGTAAGACCAAAATTGGTGGGAATAATTAGAAAGTAGAGGGAGACCGATTCGGGCTCAAACCATCATCAATAATTAGAGCAAACAACAAAATAAAACTGGTTAGCTTTAGACGCTCCTGTGCTCTGCAACACTTATTGTGGTCGGTGTTGTTAGGTGCCTTGGACCCAGCGCCAACTCAGAAACACCCTATGCACACTGCCCACTCCCGTGCCCTCCTTACAATACATGCCATTTGCACCCATCATTGCCACTGTGGCAATTCATCTTGTCAAGGGTCTTCCTCTTTTTGCTGTCCTCCTATTCTAACAAGTCCGAGGTCCTTGTCCAGGGACTAGTCTCTCCTGATACATGTCTAAAGTACATGAAAGGAAGTCTTGCCATCCTGGCTTCTAATTTGTTCTTTTGGCAGTCCGTGGTACTCTCAATATTTTTTACCAGCCCCATTATTAAAATTCATCAGTTCTTATTTGGTCATATCACTGGACATAAACAAAATTGAATGTTATCGTCAAAGAATACTACATGGGAAATTAATGCACTGGAAAGAGTGTCTGATGATCTTTGAAATATCATAAAGTTTTTAGCTTCCATTTAGCTCTTCCATTTTAATGTACCTTCCTAGAAAATGAGAAAGAGCGGAAGACCTGGGATGCCATGAATTGACACTGTGCCTGCAACACGGGCTCAAGAATCACTAAGGTGATGCTGGCTTGGGACCAGGCAGTGTTTGATTCTGTGTACATCAGGCCAACATGGGTCACAACTGATTTGACAGCATCTAATAACGAGTGGAACACTTCAGGTAAAGAAAACACTTGAGTGATTGCAAACAGAGCTATGCTCGCAGCTGAGAGTTGTGGGAAGAGGACAGAGTTTCTTTGTATGTCTTCAAAGTGATTGTCTGTGCAGGGGGTCTCTGTCATCAAA